ACCAGCTAGTGTTACAGTTGTCTCGAATCAAGAAGGGAAGCACTTTTTTGCCGTTGGCGGGTGGTTCAATTGATTGAAAATCAAAAAAAAAGAAGTAAATAGCCTTTCGCTTTTCTATTGGCTGATGTTTGACCAATGAATCAATGGGAAAAGGATCTCGATATTAACGATCACAAATTAAGTGAATGTCGGTTATGTGCGACATTCTATTCTGCTGCTCTCAAAAGTTCTCTTTTTGAAAATGAATTTGATTAGATATCTTAATAGCTCGGCTCCGTAAAAGATATTATACATTCCTCCTTCTAACGCGATTAGACGATTCTGAGCGTTATAACAGAAAAAAAGCATAAAACTTTATTACATGGTACTTTTGTTACTTTATACGATGTCATTGTAGCTTAGCTTGACCAAAGCGTTTTAACTGAGTGGTTGATTCGTGTTTCAAAAATCAAATTCGGTTCGGTTCGCAACCAGCCGAACCGAACCGAATGTCGAATCATTCGATTCGCTCGGGCTCTGGTTGATAGTTACTTAAAAACCTCTTACATTTCTTTGTAAATAAAAAGTTGTTATCTGCGTGAATTAAAAAAACTTAAAAAAACGATAAAGCTCATGCCACTTTTTTTCACATATCTTTTTATTTATGTCTCCTAGAAAGCCAGTCCCATGATCTGCTAATATTATTATACCATTAGATAGTCTATAGTCTTCTCTAACAAACACGCAAGTATAGTTGTAAAATAACGAAAAAACCGTTACAAGTGAATTGATTAAACAAACAACTCCTCACACTGAATTTCATGCCAAAGTATTATAGTATGTGTGAAAGAGTGCTTTTTTCGTGCCTGTCTCTTTTGAGCCCACACATGGCAATACGCACTACCACATAGTACAAGAAGTAACGAGCAATGTGCATCACAAACATTGAAAATCAGAAGAAAGTCATACTTATCATTTTTTTCTTTTCCTTATCTAAATAATAATAACTAGGAATAATGTGATAAGCAAAACACTTTCACACGTCTTTTACATTTATTAAATATGCAGCAAGAACACGCATCATCACTACCATTAAATGAAGACGCTCACAATTCTGACTCCAAATTAACCGAAAAAGATTTTGAACTCATTGAAGAAGCCAAACGCGTCTCACGTCGTCTTCACCAACCGCACTATCACGTCGTCGTTGGCGCACTACGCACCTCTCCACCATCAGACAAAATCTACACCGGTATTCACATCGAATCATCGCAGCCATTGTGTGGCGAGGTGAGTGCCGTGTGCTCGATGATCAACGATGGACGAGAGATGGGTGAGCTCGAGACAATTGTAGCACTGGCTGGC